TCCTGCTTCACCTCTCACGTCACCTCTCTGATGACCGCTGGGACCTCTGCTGCTCCTTCTTTGGCCTGCAGCCGGCGACTGGCTCTGAACTCTGGAAGGCGAGTGAGAGTGAGTGGGTGACCTGGCCTTCAGCAGTCAGCAGCTAAGAGGGAAACTCGGCCGGGTCACCTGCGGCTTGACACAGGCCCGCGGACAAGGAGGGATTGTTCGGGGAGGTGGCATCACGTGGTACGCTTTGGCATAGTGCCTTGGGTTCAAGGATATCCTCCTTCAGTTGCCCAGAGTTTGAACTTTTAATTCAAAAAGCAGATGAAAATTAGAACACAAAATCAATTGTTTATTTGTATGCAGTTACAGAATCCTCTGCTGGAACTTCAGGCTGCAATTTAAAGTGATCTTCAGCTTTTATTAAGCAGAGAAAGCAGAAAAAAGCTGACTAGCGGTTGACTTTAGATTGTGATTGTATGATTGGTATTAGTAGTTTTCACCTTGCCTAGTTCATGAAACTCCCAAAGATGGAGGTTGCTCTGCAGCCCTGATGCCCAGCATCGGGTGCCCTGAGACGTCGACCGAAGGGACACCTCGGACCAGCTGCTTCAGTCGTCACCGTAGCCATGTGTGCACGCACACACACACACAGGCCCACTCTGAGGTTCACAGTTAGAGGACACCGTTGTTTTATGCCACTCTGTCTCTGCTCTCTCCCAGAGCCACAGTCTTAAGGAAATCCCGTCTGAGCCTGGGACCAAAGTCGGAGCCAGTCGGAGCCTCCAGCCTTCGCCTGGGCTCTCCCTGTGTCTTCCCATTGCCACGTGACTCTCAGTTCTGTGTCGTATGTGTGTCAGATCACCCCAGGTTTTGAAGTAGGGAGAGTATGAACTCTGTGTGTGTGCGCGCGCGCCAGCGTATGTTTGCCGGGAGCTGTCCTTTTCGATGGCTGCTGGATGAGCGCAGTGCGCTGGCGCCTGGCTCTGTGCTAGACCAGTGTCGTGACTGGCGTGCCGGCTCCACGCTGCCTGTCGACGAGGTAGAAGATCGTGACCTGGATCGCCGGTCCCGATTCCATTCAGGGCCGGGCTGGCATCGGATCTGGATGAAGTCTTTACCAGCCCTTAGTCAGATTTAGAAAATGAAGGAAAATGCAGCTTTAAAGCTAACTTGATTTGACTTAAATGATTGTTTTTACTCCGAGGATGTATCCTTCCAACTTTGGTATAGATGAGAGTTTTTTGTTATGCGATGGTGGTAGTAACTGTGGCTTGAAAAATTTTTTAAGGTAGCAGAAGAAAAGGTTAACTCTGTGGGTTCCCTGAATTCTTTTTGCGGTGTACCTGATTTGCGGACTCTGAACCGGAGCCCACTCAGTTGAACTGTTATGGTATCATGGGTACAGTTTAACAAGCGCTCACACAAACGACATCAGTCATTTTGTCTGCTCGGGGGCGTGCCACCATCTTCTGGAAAACGCAGCTCGGCGGAAGAGCTTTCCCCACGGCCATCCAGCCCTGGGTTCTGACAGGCCGCCAGGACCGCAGGTGCGAGCACACGTTCGCCCGCGGCTGTGTTCAGGCTGGTGCCAGGAAAGAGCGCCTTCGCGGGATGCTGGTCCGGGCTGCCCTGGCAGAGGATCACGGAGCTGGAAACCTTGGGCCCTGCCCTGCACGGCTTCGGTTCACTGGGGAAGCGCCGCAGCCGGGCCACAGGGTGGGAGGGCTCGGAGGAAGGCCGCCTACGCCGCAGTCGGGGCGCCAGGCTCGGGGCGCGGGCGGGACGGGAGCCCGCTCTGCGTCTCCAGGGCCTGCTCGGCCTCGGCCCCGCTCAGCCCTTGGCTCCGCTCCTCCCTCTTGCCATCCCCTGTGCCCAGAGCGCTTTGATTGCTGAGATGATGAATGCCCTGATTGTCAGAGCCTTTTGTAATCAGATCAGAGAAGCACATGACCGCAGGGCCATGTGGAAAGTGAAAATGGCCAGTGTTGGACGGCCGTCTCGTGTGTCGCCGTACATGCTCGTTGCGTGCTCGGACCGTCCACGTCCCCTCCTCGTCTTCGGCTCCCTGCAAGTCTCCTCTCCTCGGTGGATTCGAATCCCGTAATGGTAAAGCCTTTCCGCTCCGGCGTGGCGTGTGGGCCTTGGTTTTGTTTTCGGGGTCTTTCTGTAGACAGGCTTTAGAGACGATTTAGACCGACTTCATAGCGTTCCGTTCAGAGCGCCGGCGCTTTCGGAAGACGGGGGACGTGCAGGTGTGAGCCGGGCGAGCGGCTGCAGCATCCTCGCGTGGGAACCGCCGAGTTCGGAGCCGTCCGCTCCCTGGGCCCCTGCCACGCTGGCTCCCGCCGGCGTTTCGGGACTCACCGCCCTCCTGCCCATCCGGCCGGCCAGACCTCGCGGCCGCTGCTCAGAAACCGTCTATGAGCCTCCGTGGGTCAAACGCTGTGCAAACAGGATCGGATCCAAATTCTCTAACGGCTGAGTTTTGCCAGCGCTTCACCTCGCTGCCGTCCACGCTGCTCCTCGGTCCCGCGCCCTCACCCGCAGTTTCGCCCTGCGCTGTCTCAGTTACCTGCAGTCTCAGCCGCAGTCCGAAAACATCAGATGGAACCTTCCAGAAGTAAACATTCCAGAAGTTTCAAATAGCGTGCCGTCCTGAATAGCATGATGAAACCTCTCGCCGTCCTGCCTCATGCCTCCCGGGGTGCGACTCACCCCTTCGCCCCCCGTCTGCACGCCGTGTGCTGCCCGCCCCGCTAGTCACTCCGTAGCCCTCCCGGTCATCAGCTTGGTCATCAGAGGGCGCGACAGCACGTGCACGTACCTCGTCACAGCGCTGCTGCCGTCGTTCTGATTGATCATGGTCGTTGATCTTGTACTGTGCCGCTCTAGGAGGTAAACCATCTCAGGAAGGCAGGTCCGGGAAATGCCCAGTGTGCCTCCCGCCGGCTCAGGCGTCTGCTGAGGGTTCTGGACCGCGTCCCCTTCGGATGAGGCGGAGCGCTGTGCCGATGCTCGCTCCAGTCAGGCTGGTTCCTTGCTGTCCCGGCCACCTGCTTCCTCATCTAGGCCTTTGTTTGTCACCGTCCCACGTTCTTGCTCGGCTCAGGACTTCCGGTCTCTTCCTGAGGTCTGCGCTGCAGGGTCCCCCAGGCCCGTCGCAGGCGGCGCTTACTGGACGTGCTGCGCGGCGACGTGCTGTTGTCGGGACCGTTGGTGCACGCCCGCGACGGCATCGTTCGCGTCTGTCGTCTGCGTAGGTTCAGCTGCCCTTCGTAATTTTGCGGCCCCTTCAGAACCTGAACTTACCTGCAGCTAAGGTGGCAGCTGGCCCCAGTTTGCGCGTGACCGCCCGGGTTTCTGTGCCGAAGCCCCTCGGGGCCAGGCAGTCTGGGCCGCCCGGTCCCCAGACCATGAGCCGTGGTTGAATTTGGGCCCGGACACGTTCCGCGGCTTAATCCGCCACGGCGCACGGGCAGGCTTTGTCCAAAACGGAAATTTATGAGAAAAATTATGTTTATTCATCAGACGTGTGTTGACTTTCTGAATGTGTAAGGCATTGTGAGAGGTGATAGGACGTGGATTTTTGGTTCTTGGGGAGTTAAAAACTTTCCTAAGCTATACCGTTTGGAGATGTATTAATTTAAGTTACGTTTCTTTTAATTTATCTTAACAGATGGAAGGGTCTTGAGAAAACAAACGAACGATCCCTTGGTCCCCTCCCCGGTGGGAGTGGAAGCGCTCGGCCCGTCCCTTTGTCTCGCTGGCTCCTCGGTGCTTTCGGTCACCCACGGTGGGGCCAGTTCCTACTTCCCTCGTCTGCAGTGGGGCCTCCCTGTGGCTCCCCACCGGTGGCGTGCTGGGAAGTGCTCAGCGGCACACTGCAGGCTGTCAGCTTGGTGGCACTGGGCACGGAGCCGGGACCGGGCTGGGTGGGCGGTCCCGAGGGCCCATGTGGGCTGTCTGAGTCCCGCCTAGCGAAAGGCAGGGTCTGCTGCGGTTCCAAGCTTTGGTTATTGTGTTTTCTTTTCAAGGTCACTGATTTAAAATGTAGCAAGGGCGGTCTCAGGGCTCTGTGTGTCTAGCGTCTCTAGGAAGAGGACACTGTGTAGCTTTTATCTTTCCTGTCAGCACTTGGCGGCGGCTTAGGACAGCTCTTGGCTTTTTTTTTTTTTTTTTATACTTATGAGCAGAAAACTGTTCTGTGAGTAGAGAGCCAAGCTCCGTGACCCACATTGTTTAAAGACTGGTTTTATGTGAACAAAATTTAGTATCACGGACTAAAACTCAATCCAGGTTAACTTGATACTTATTTAAGCACGTGCTTAGAATCACGAGACCCAGTTGGAGCATCTCCCCGGGAGTGTCCCCCCTTCCCTGCCCCTCGGTCCCTCTCTGCTTCTGTCCTTTCTCTCCCAAGGGCTCATTTCCATTCTCCCCTCTGAGAAGCAGCTGTGGGACCGTTTTCCCCAAGACACTGTTGCCCGGAGGGTCCCTATTTCACTTTCGTCGTCGTCAGTTTTCTATTTCTTATCCGTCTTTGTCTTCAGCGTTTTTATTTTTAAATAAGTTTAGGTTTGTAAAAGAATACAGCTAGTTCATCCATACTCTTCATCCAGCTTCCCCTAGTGTTAACGTAATCTCGGTAAATTTTGTCAAGCAGAAATTGACAGTATGTTAACCGAACTGCAAGTTTTACTCACGTCTCCCTGGTTTTTTCATGAACGGCCATTATCTGGCCCAGGATCTCGCCCAGGGTCCGCCCGTTTTGCGTTTTGTCATCCTGCCTGCTTCGTCCGTGCGGCCTGCGCCAGCTCCCCCCGTCTTCACCGCTCCCACGAATTCTCTCCCGTTGGCTCCTGTGTCCTTCGCAGGGCCCCCTGCCCCCCATGACCCCCTCTCCCTTTCTCCCTCCCTTCCTTCCGGCGTCCTGGAACTCCCGGCGGCTCCAGACTCATCGTTCCTCTGCTCCCGTCCTGGAGTCAGCCGGTTCTCCCAGGAGGCCCGGTCCGTTCGTCGGCGAATGGCACTTCAACGCCACGACCCGCCGCCGCCGAGCGTGCTTTGTCGCTGCAGCGTCCCCGCCTTTAGGCCTTTCCGGGGGACAGAGTGGCAGATGTGCACGTGCGCGCAGATGCACGCATCCGCGACTGTCGAGGCGAGTCCCAGTTCTCACTGACGTCTCGGACCCCGGCGCGGCCCCGCCGTGCGGACTCGCGACGTGTTTCGCTGTTTGTGACCGGCGGGGACAGCGCAGCTGTTACACTGAGCTCCGGGCTCGCCCTCCGCCGACTCGGCTCATAGACACGTTCCCGCTGGAAAGTCGTGGGTCCCCGTCGCCACCACCGAGTGGCCCCAGAGCTCGCAGAGCACCCTGCTGTTGCAGGCAGGACATACCCGCCCCCCGACACGACGTTCCTACGCCGCTTCTGAGCCTTGTTTTACATCATTTTAACAGATACGTGTTAGGTAGCCATCTCTGTGACATACCGGATAGTGAGTGTTGTAGACTCGGGGGCCATACGGTCTCTGTCACAAGCTCCCAGGTCGGCCCGTGTCCCGTGAAAGCAGTCATGACGCTGGGAGCGTGGCTTTGAGGGTCTTCGGATGAGTCGGCGCCGCGGGAGAGGCCGCCCGGCCCGGCGGGAGCAGCCGATGCGGGCGGGCCTGGGGCCCTCTCGGGTGGCAGGCGAGGCCGCCCGGTGGGGACGGGGTATTCGGGAGCCCACGCTCTGTGCGGGAGTTGGGGAGCATCGCGTGAAGGAACTGGAGAGGATTTCGATTCCGTGTGTTTTAAGTTACTCGAGTTCCTCCGTGCGTTTCTGGCATTTTTAATTTTCCCTCGTAACCCAGTTGAGACGGGCGCTCCGCGTCCTGCCTTCAGTTTGTCGCTCGCTTCGTCTCCGTACGGTACGTTTACTTTCACGTGAGCACAGAGGGAGACACGGGTTTCGGGCCTGAAATCGGGTCACCTGGTCGTGAGTTCCAGCTTTGCCGCCTCGTCTTTTCGAAGGCGTCAGGGCGGCGACGCGCCCTCTCTGCTCCAGGTCCCTCGGCTGCCTGCCTTCCGTGCGGGCTGCTGGAAGAGGCGGCGGGGGACGGTGCTGACGTCCCTGGGGGGCCGTGCCCGGCGGGCCCTGTTCCCACCCCGGCACGCTCGGCCGTGCAGCTCCTTCCCGACCCCTCGGCTCCGCGTCCGCGTCAGGTTACCGGGTTCTGTTCTGTCTGGAGCAGCTTCCGTGGTCCGGTGAACCAGGAGTGACGCAGCGACTTCCTTCATTCCCGCGGCCAGCACTCGTGTGTCAGGCGCCGGCCACGTGCTCGGCGTCCCGCCCGGACCGGAAACTGCTCTAAAGGGAAACCGGTGTGTCTGGCAGCTTCACGGAGCGTGCGATCCGGAGGGCGGGAGGCGCCTGGGGGCGCGTGCCCGCGTACACACATGCACACACGCTCTGTGGCTGTGATGACTGGCCGGCGTCACAAGCACGTGACGCTGCGAGCGACGGATTCGATCTGGGCGGAGAGATAAACCTAAAAGGCGTTGCCGAGACGGCCAGGGCCGCGGGGAGGGCGCGTTGCAGGAAATGGGAACGACGTGTGCAGAGACCCCGTGGCCGGACGCGTGGAAAGGCCACCGTGGCCGGACAGTGACGCTGAAGAGGACATCGGCGCGGGGCGGGGGCGCAGGAAGCCGGTCTTCCCCGTGGAAAACGACTGAGGTCCGTTTTGAATAAAGGTCGCTGTTGCAACTCGAACTTGTTATAACGTTTTCGTTAAAAGAGGTGATCGCTCCGAGACCCTGAGACCACGTAGCATCCTCACGAAGGGGTTGGAGTTTGGGGCTCATCTGCAGACAGGCTCTCTCGCCTCTGCTCAGGGCTCCCATGCTTTCGGGGTAGACGGAGAGGAGCGACACGTACCCTACCGCCCCCGCCGACCCGGACGCCGACCGCTGAGAGATGGCTCTGGGTCCCCTTGGGGTTTCGACCTTGAAATTAAGGATTCACGGTGACCAAGCTTTAAAGAAATTGTAGAAATGGACTCTTTTCGAGGCACATTATAACTTCTGGTCTCTCGCATTCATTCTTCAATCTCCCCTTTCAGTTTTAAAACTACATTTAAACTTTCGTTGGCGACTGAGTTACTTAAGTCCCGCGGGAAACGGTTCGGCTTCGTGGACTGTGTTAAAGTAAGTAGACTGCGCTCGTTTCGGCGTGAGGCTGACTCGCTCTCATCCCTTACAGAAAGCATCGCAGACGGCGCAGGGGCTCTGGTCGCGTGTTAATATAATGCAGCTGTTCTGTCGAACGATGCTCTGCAGGAGGCCGCGTTTCGTTTCTTTTCCAGAAGGCGTTTGCTTAGAGAGGCGGCACCCGGCAGTGAGGCACGCAGACCCGCGTCCGGCCGTCCGGCCGGGCCGTCTCAAACCCCTGGGCTCCTCGCGCCTCCTTTCCACGTCTCACAAGCGGGGCGCCTTGGTGTCGCCGCCACCATTGTGAGGGTGACAGCGCTCATGCTGCTGGGCGCCTCCAGTGCCCCTCCTCACCTTCGTCATCGCGGGATTTCCTTCTGGGTCACACGCTGACCCTGGACATCTTATAAAGTGGTCGTAGCTCACACCACGATGTTTTCCTTCTTCTTAAGGAGAAATCGTCGTGAACGAAGTCAGTTTCGTGCGAAAATGCATCGCAACAGACACGAGTCAGTACGATTTGTGGGGGAAGCTGATATGCACGAACTTCAAAATCTCCTTCATTACGGATGACCCGATGCCCCTACAGGTACGTCTGTTCGTACGGTCTGTTGAATTCTGTCGTCAAAGCTTTGGACTCTAAGCAGTACCTGTTATGTGAAAGCACAGGTATGGAAGAACGGTAATCAGATCAGTAATAAGTGATGAGTGTGATGTAGAGAATTCCTTAAAATTCAAAATACAGTTTGAGGAGAACGTCGAGGCTCGAGTAGTCAGTGAGGTGGTTTGAAGTCCCCGTGCTCTGCTTACCCTCCTTGACTGTCGCTTCAGTACCCTTCTCAGTAAGGGGGTCACTTCGTTTTTCCCCCGAATCTTTTAACCTGCCTATGAAAACAAAGATACCCTTTTTTACTAGTCGTGAAGAGGAAAACTAAATCATTTAGCAAATAATCTTATAAATGCTGCATCTTCTGCAGATATCGTAGTGTTTTTAACTAACCAGTTGTTTTCAAAAGAAGTCAAATTCTAATTTGAAATTTCTACTACAATTAGAGTGAAAAAATATCGATAAAGTTTCTCTTTAATAACTCGCAATTTTATAGTCTCACATGGGAAGAAAAGTTTTATGTAATTTTGGTTTCTAAAGGTTTGGGCATTCATTTGACTTAAAAATCCTGTGACTTTTCTCGGCTCTCATTTTCTGTTTTGATTTGCGAAGCGCTGTACATTTTCAGCCCTAGCTCTCTATTTACAATAGTAACTGTTTTCTAATGAAGTATTTGAATGTTAACTGCAGAGTTCTGACTGAATGTCTAATTCTGGATGAGTACGTTTTACGTAGTCTTCCTTAATTTACCAAAACCCTTACTGTGTGTTCGTGTTTATCGCCGCCTTCGGTAGGTACATCGAGGCTGGGTTTAAGGGGTTCGCAGATAATTAGCATGGAGACACGCTGGCTTGTTTGGCCTCAGGCCAGAGTTTTCCCCTTTGTCTTTAGCTTTGTTTGGATAAACGAGCCCAGGTTTTGCTCTAAACGAGACACACACCTGGAATGGAGTAACTGACACACTGTGTTCCGATGCCACGTCCTGGGCATTGTGATAATTGCGGGGTAGTCACAGTTTCTCGTCACACCTTGTGTTGCCATCATGAGCTGATCGGGAAAAGAGTTAACGTGAACCTAACTTTGTGTTTCAGAAATTCCGTTACAGAAACCTTCTTCTCGGTGATCACGATGTTCCTTTAACGTGCATTGAGCAAATTGTCACCGGTGCGTATGATCTTTCCTCAGGTCACGAAAGCTGACCGGGCTTAAAAGGGTTGCTAGAAGGTGCTCAGGTGCTTGGGTTGGAGTCTTATTTCTGCAGGTTTCTTTTCTTTTCTCTTTTTTTTTCTTTCTCTTTTTTCTTTCCTTCCTTCCTTCCTTCTTTCTTTTTTCTGTCTTTCTTTCTGTCTTTCTTTCTTTCTGTCTCTCTCTCTGTCTCTCTCTCTCTCTCTCTCTCTCTCTCCCTCTCTCTCTCTCCCCGTTTCTCTCTCTCTCTCTTTCTTTCTTTCTTTCTTTTTCCCTGAGTCCAAGGAACATTGATGAAAGAGAAAGGTCAAGATAGTGTTTTAAAATGGAGACAGAGGATGTATAGCCTTTTTTATTTTCTAGTATTCGTTCTCTTTTAAACTAAAATTTTAGTCGTGAAATGTACCTAGATGGTGCTGGTTGTGTGCAAAGGCTAATATAAAATATCTTCAAAAGCGGAGTTGAAACCCATCTTCCAAAGCCCTAAGAATCACGGACGAACGCGCGGGTCCAGGGCAGCAGTGTCGGGCGGGGCTGGTGGCCTTTCGATGACACTTGGTCGGGATTTGTCAAAGTCCTAACGCGTGAGTCACAAGAAGGAATCTTCACACACTTTAATTTTTTTCTTTTTCAGTAAATGACCACAAGAGGAAGCAGAAAGTCCTAGGCCCCAACCAGAAACTGAAATTTAATCCAACCGAGTTAATTATTTACTGTAAAGATTTCAGAATTGTCAGATTTCGCTTTGATGAATCAGGTCCTGAAAGTGCCAAAAAGGTAATGATTTTTTTTGTTGTCGTTCAGCTTTATCAGATTCTGGGTTTCGCACTGTGCCTACCAATTTCGGTTCTGCGTGGGAGTTCTTTCTCAATTGCTCAGGATTTTTTTTTTAGGGAAGTTATCAGATATCTCCTTATGTGTAGCCAAAGCCAAAGACGTTCATAGCAGT